TGAATTCTAGGTTCATGAAGAGAGTCTTCTTAGGAACCGTTGTGATATTTGACACCGGAGGCTTCTCTTTCATATTTTTGTCGATGAATCTCGGTGGATACCCATTCTCCATTAGGGTTTCACGCAATGAATTTAATTCTTTCTCTATCGTGTCTTCCGAGCAGATTTTTCTAATCCTTGAGCACAATGTACGTACCAAGTTTCTCTTTCGGATCAGTGGAACAAAGCTCTGGAAGTTGATAAACTGTCCAGTTCATGTTGGCTTACGGTATATCGATCTTTGGATCATACATTCGTGTCTTCTGGTGAATAGTACATCGAGGAATGGAAATGAATTGTTCGATTCGCGTTCTACGGTGAACCTTATTGATGGATGCGCTGCGTTGAAGGTTTTGAGGAGAGAATCTAAATCACATTTTTCATCACAGATTATAAACGTATCATCTACGTATCTCTTGTATAAGTGCAGTTTACTTATCAAGGGATCAAGGATGTTGTTTTCAAGACTCGCCATAAAACAGTCGGCTAGGAGTGGACCGAGACGACTGTGAAGGGTGGAGTGATTAAAGATCTTCCTCCTTCTTTTGAAGCCCTGACCTCTCTATTTTTATGGCTTTAACAGCACAGATGAGACGGGCACTTAATGATTTCGGCAAGTCATTCTTCGCCCTTTAAAAAAAACTTTAAAGGAAGAATTTGTAGGTACAGAATAACCGTTATCGACCAGACACAATTCCATATTTTCGTTACCAGACAAAGTAGTGTTCTTGCACACGTTATTATGAGACCCGTAACGAACTACCAATATATCTAGCTTCCCAGGAGCAGATGAACTGAAAAGCAAACATGAATTTACAGCAGAAATGTACGGGAGAAAGAATACTAATGTGGAGAAACATGAAGATTTTGTTCATCTGAAAGATCGCAAAGAGTGAATGCATCCGCGGCATTGAGAAGCGTCTTGAGCTATATCACTGACAGCCTCAAGCTATTGGTTTTCATCGTCTCCAGCATCCCAGATAGACAATCTACACCCCCTTAAGTGACTGGTTCAAACCAATGTTATCTAGCATTGTTGAACGAGAAAAGCGATGACTTCATAGAAGTAACACATGTCCCAAAATCTCGATCGAAAACTTATCGACTGACTTAAACTCTCTAACTAGTACTATAGGTTTAATCTCAATATTACCTATCATATTATATATCTCTGGACACACAACACAGAACTCAAACATCCGGGGTCCGAGACAACTAGCTAGTCTCTCCAGGTCTTCTATTGTCACTGGCCATCCGGCCCTACCATAAAAAGGACAAAACGAAAAGCTCCACAGGACACGCATCCTTTGAACAATAGCCAGGTTTCATATTTACGCCACAGATGATCTTAGTCAGAAAATGACACACCAGCCTTTTGTATCTATACTGAGATTTTGTTAACAATGAGTTCATCAATATGCTGACCCACTTCACTTTATATCAGCTTACGTTTGACAAGGACGAATGGCTTACCAAGCAATCGAAGATTTCTCCTCAAAGTGTTCAGATTACTGTGCATTGTGTTGTTGCCTTAAACTAAAAGAACATCCTCCTTTATGGTTGTGAGACCTGGCCACTGAGAGTGGAAGACATGAAAAGACTAGCTGTCTTTGATCATAGGTGCCTGCGTTCTATTTCCCGTGTAAAGTGGCATAATAAGGTGAGCAACATGGAGGTTAGGCGTAGAGTTCTAGGTAAACAGGGGAAATCAATCGACGAAGTCGTGAAGCTACATCGACTGAGATGGTTAGGACATGTGTTACGTATGCCAAGTCATCGCCTCCCTCGACGAGCTATGTTAGCGGATATAGGGTCAGGCTGGAAAAAAGCTAGCGGCGGTCAAACAAAACTTGGCCTTACCAGTCAATGAAATCCACAACAGTTAGTCTAAGCGACGTAGGAAGGTGTAGACTGGCTTCGTGGTTGGGGTCCTCGGGACGGTAAGAATCTATGGTTGGAAACAATTGGTGACATGGCTCAAAATCGTTCTCAGTGGCGCAGATGCATCCACTCCCTGTGACTTATGATCTTCAATGAAACTGTTTTGTATTTCTTTATTACTCCTTTGTCTCACACCTCTGCTCACTGTTTCTATTATGCTTTTCTTGTACTTTCTTCCCTTGCTTCGCGTGCTACACGGAATGTGGCGACTTGAACTTCCGCACATTTGTGCAAAGTTCTATGTCGAAAACAGACAGACACTAAAAGAACAGTATCATACGCATACTCTAAGTCAAGAAGACTATTTCGTGACATCAAGTCAATTCCTAAGTTGCTATATTCATTTAGCCTCAATTCTACTAGTACAACTGTGATGAAACTGAAGAGAAATGGAGAGAGTGGGCGGACACCACTGGTAGTCATAACTTCAGGTGATTACTCTGAATGAGATCGAGTACAATCCCATGACTAGTATGATGTCCCTTCACGGATCTACACTGGCAATGCACCTCTCGGTTGACGGGATAGAATGCTGACTTCAGATGAAGAAATATAGAAATGTTCAGCACTAGTAAGTATCCTTATGTCCCAGAATCTGTCAAGGGCTGAAGACATTATCAAGACATGCTTTTTCTGGTCTAAAGACTATCTGGTTTATCTGGGTCTATTTCTCTAGAGCATCAATTAATCTATGCATTATTACTGAACCTAGAACTTCGGAAATTATATTAGTCAATCTAATCCCCATATTATGATTACAAGAAGTTTTCCCTCCATTCTCATACACTGGAGTAATCAATGATTTACGCCATGTTGTCAAGGAACTTAATCCTAAGTTCCTATTATTTCCGAAGACGCTCTAAATCGACAATTACTAGGTATAGATATCGACTTTAATTCCAAAACGCAATGAATGAGAAGAACGACTGTACTCTTCAACTGTTAAAATCAATATTCTGTACTAAGTCTATAAACAAATGTTTTTACAAGAAATGTATTCTACTTTTATTCGTATTCTTTCGTCATCTTCCAACGTGTACACGATCGAATCACTTGCGCCTTCGAGTTGGCCACCAAATGGCGACCAAAGTCAATGAACAAATGTTCAATGTTCACATAACCATTGACACCAGTCTAACGAAAATATCTTTGATTCCCAGACACTATCTAATACCTTAGTTAATATGCAGAAAACAGTCTGTCACCACCATTTTTAAAAACCTTTGGCATCATTCCTTCAAGCCTTACTGCTTCTCTTGATTTCAGACTAGAGAAAATCTTTTTAACCTCAGTTACTGTTGGCAGACCAATGTCAGCATATCATTCAAATAGGTGTTGGATAGTGGGTAAAGTGAAAGTGATTGTAGGCCAATCAATTTGCTCTTCAAAGAGTTCATTCCAACACTGTAGTATTTTATCCTGAGAGATTATATATTATTATTATTATTGTATCCTTTAGTTCCTAGAGGAACATAGGGCTTCAGCTGAGCACCTCCATTGCCTTCGGTTTTCTGACAACTTTTTCATCCTGCTCCAGGTCTGTCCACATGCTTTCATCTCCTCCTCGCATGACCTCCTCCAAGTCACCCTTGCACTGACGACCAACTCGCCGCCTCCCTTTCGGGTTCCACTCGAGCAATGGCTTGTCTAGTGATGTCACTTGATGGTTTCCTCAGCGTATGGCCAATCCATCTCCATTTCTTTCTGCCTATTTGTTTCACAATCGGTTCCTGATTGGTTCGCTCATTGCCAGAGACCCCTGTTGCTGATCTTTTCTGGCTGGCCATCTGATCTTGAGTATTGAGCGGAGACAAATGTTAATGAAGGTCTGAAGTTTGTTTGAGATGCTCTTTATGACGCTGACCAAGTCTCTGATCCATCCGTATAGTAGCACTGACTTCACATTTAGTTGAAAATCCGGATCTTATTTTTGATGGTGAGTGCTGTTGACCTCCACACAGATTTGAGAGTAATGAAAGCTTGTCTTGCTTTTCTGATTCTGGCTTTGATATCCGAAATAAAAATTTACTAATCTAGTAGTGATAAGTTTGTCTGGCAATAACCAGAAAATATCAACTTTTTCAAAGTAGTGGTGATTAACCAAGAGTCATAGGGCAACAATTAGGACGTTAGATATAATTATGAAATTTAACTTTAGGTATTAGATTACGTCATGATCCAAAATCATTGAGAGAGGTCATTGAAAACAAGGAATTACTGGACAGCTGATTCGTCCCTGATTGAGACTCTTCAGAAGTGCGCGCACATGACCCCACTCGGAATCGAACCCGAGGCTTTCAGATCGCCAGATTAAGCTTGTTGACTATTCAAACACTTGAGCGAGAATCCGATGACTTATAAATTCCAACCCTGTCAATTCGTGGTATCAATAGCTTAGGAGAGCATCCACGCCATCTTGATGCGGTAGATTACTCTGTCTCAACACAGCTTCAGAACATCAATCTAGAAGTCATCAGTACCCGAGTTCAACCTTCTGTGGGGTCGTGGGTGTTCACTGAAGAAGACTTCTAAACTAGGACGAAACAGCTGCCCAGTGCTCCTTCATTTTCAATGATCTCTCTTACTGATGTTAGTTTTTGACGATATCCCCTAACTGTGTGGTGCAAGCCAAAATTGTAGGCAACAATTTACGTCAATGTTCACGTCCCGAATCGGGGTCATGAGAAAAAAAACAACAATAACAAAGCTTAACTTTGAGGAACTCACCGACCAATCACAACAGAGTTAACATGTGCAAATACGATTCGCACATATATGGCTTAACTTTTTGAGAAACGATAACAAGCAGCACAAAATAACCTTCAGTATGAAAACAACCAATCGAAAGATGTTGTTTCTCTGCTAACAATAATGCTAATAATAATGTATATGAAAATTTATAGATATTTGTTGATTTTCTCAATAAACGATCTGTTGCCTGGCTATTGTCTTCTGTCGTTACAACTAAAACTAAATAAATCCGAAATCCTATAATCTATTTGTGAAATTTAAGACATGTGTTAACATAATGAGTAGTTTGTATTATTTGCGTAAAAATAAATGGGAATAAATTAGTCATCAAATCACTGCATTTTTCATCTTATTGTAAAAGTTTAAATTCTCATCTCTTCTTGTTGAATGAGTCGGAATATAAAAACGCAATCTAACAAATACCACAGAAACATTTTCAGTTAGTAGATTTTATTACACTGATAAATTTGTGTCCTTGTTCATCATAATGATACTAATGACTATGATGAAGCATTGCTTCACGTGATCGTGTCAAAGCATCGGGCAGTGTTGTTCCTGAAATCCAATCCATTTGACGCTGAAGTTTTCCAATATATTTAATACATGCTGGACCAGTTTTTAAATTTGTTCTAGCTAGTGGACCACAAACTTGACAATAATATCGACGACATGTTAATCCTGATCTTGTTGTATAGAATTGTGGAGGTGGTGGTAATGGCCTACACTGATCTGAATTGAACTGATAAAGTTCGTCAACTTGTTCTGATTGAAATAAAAAAAAACAGAATGAAAATATTTAAAAAAAATATTTATTGAATGAAAATTGACAGCAAAATTCGTCCAGCTCCGGACTCGTCATCTGGATGTACCTGCATTCCCCTAGTGAGTGATGGTATTCCCACTGGTACTCGAACCCAGCACCCATCATTCTAAACGTCAGTGTACTATCCACTACACTACTTTGGCTTGAAGGGTCACATCTTGTTCAACAGGGATCAGTTATTATTCGCTTGGGCGAATTTTGTTTTCCCCGTTCATTGATTGAACGTAAATGTCGGCTTGTAGTATGGACACTTCATATAGTACTCATATCTCATATAAAAAGTAGTATATACCATGACTTGAGCTGGATTCTGGCTTCCTCTGACTAAACAGTTCAACCTAGTTAGTTGTCAGTAAGTAACCTTCCAGAGTATCTTATTTTCATACATCGCTTTATTAATTTGAAGAAGAGTTCGTTTCAAAAATACTCAAAGTGCAATCACCAGACATATGGTTGATACTGGACATCTCGTAGAGATTTCTAAGTCCTTCAAAATATTAAATAGACAAAGGACTGCAAATTTACTACGATTTACCGAAGCGATCGCAATCAAACGATTCAGTCCAAAAATATGCATGCAGAAAGAGAGTGCCATTGCTCTCTCACTCCCTTGAGAACTGAATTTTGATTTTGATTACATTAATTAGTCATTTGATTCAGTGATCTCAACTCATTGAGTAAATCTCAATCTTATAAACTGTAACTGCCATTGTTTTTACTTTTTCTTGAGTTGCTATGTTGATGTACAAGATAACACCATCTGTTATTTTTTTGTTTTCTGTCTTACCCCTCCCCCTCTTTTATAATTCGACAGCGCATAAACTGATGATGAAGACTTAAACTAAAAGTTGCAATTATTCAATTGGATTTTAGATTTTCCCGTCGATTGATTGGACCGAGAAGTGCTCGGTCTCAGGTTGACATATCTGTCGGCTTCTTCTGCATATGTTTCAACGATGTCTGGGCATGTAATTAGAATTTAATTCGTGGATGGTGACTAGCAGTGGAAACCAGCTTGATGCGCATTTCGTCCTATTTGGGACTCGTCAGCCAACCGGATGCACCTGCATTCCCCAGTAAGTGATGCTGTTCTCACCAAATAGGACGAAATGCATACGCATCCTGGATTCCACTGCTAGTCACCATCCATCAATTAAAATTTGTAATGCTTACATTTTGGATGCATCAATTTTATAGTATTTCTTCTCTACTACCACTTAAACAATAAAGTATGTTATTATCAGCATCTATATAACAATTGTAATTTCAGGTAGTGGTGTGCAGCTGATGAGAACCTGTGAAATAGAATGACGATATCATTTTATATGACAAAATTCGTGTTCCTTTCTTTATTAAGAGTTCGTTTTATTTCGTGGATTCTCTTCAACTGTGCACACCCCAAGTAATAAATCAATTACAAGTCACAAAATGCTGTCTGAACATACATTTTACAATGATTTCACGGTTTTAGATAGAAAGCATAAGTGACATAATTTGAAAGATAATGTAAGTAGACAATTATTTAGGGACATGCAGTGGAAATTAGTCAGGCCTGCAAAATAATCAATACACAAAGTAAAGCATAGTTACATCGGTCCACAGAAGCCATTGCCATTAAAAGACTTCGACCCGACTTCTGTATACAGAAAGATAGTGTGACTTATCATTATTTATTGTCACTAATTTATTCCTTTACGTTCCAAGTGGACCACAGCGCTTCAAGCTAGAGCTTTGAAGTTTCTGTAGCAGTGGTGTTTATTCCTATGGGGTGGGGTTGCTAGCCTCATACCCAACCTTCCCTCTTTTCCACTGTTATTACTGGGTTAGCGAGTCAAAGGAGTGCGTCCGTAGGGGACGGAATCCCAAATTATTTGTGTGGTAAATATAACTGTTTTGTTCTATTGTATAACAATCCACTCAAACTTGATTTTGATTTCCAATCACTGAGTTGAACTCACTATTAAGATTCCAAATCTAATAAATTAAATTATTTTATCTATTTTATAGTTTCATTTCACTATTCACCCTCACTCTCCTGAACTCTCCACCATAAATATGTATAAATTAACTCTGCTGTTCTATCTTGTATTCTGTCTCCAGTCCAGGCTTGTTTCCAAGAGAAATTTGAACTCTACCCCTATCTTGTCTTATTACTATTGTGGTGAGAGCAGGCCGTGAGAAAATATGAGCAAGGCTGATTCAACAACCAATCACAGCAAAGTTAACGTGGCAAAATATGATACGCAGATAGAGAACTCTATTTGTCGAGGAATCCCGAAACAACCAATCAGAAGCCTGCGTTTGTCTGCCTAACTTCTGATAAACAACCAATCAGATAACTGCGCTTGTCTACTTGCATAAGCTATAATAATGTATGTGAAATATGTATAAATACGTGTTGATTTTCATAATAAAACGATCTGTTGCCTGGCCCTTGTCTTCTGTTGTTACACTATATAGATAGTTACTCTTTTGTTTTTACGAGTTGATCACGGAGTACTGGACAGCAGTTTCATCCAGCTAGTTTGGGAGTCATCGGCAGTATGCTCCTACTACAGGAGGTTTGAATCCAGAACCTTCCGGTTACAAGCAGGCAAGCTCGTATACAATTCAGTCACTGGGAAAAGATTCAGTGGCACATGGCCCGTGATCAACTAGTAAAAACAAAAATAATCCATAAAAGACCAACCATAGAAAGTTAAAGTAATTAGTTCCCTTTATGAATTTTGTAACACATAATTGATTTACTTAGGATTTCCACATCTGAAGAGACAGAATCTATGTCTGTCTGTCTATCTATTTTCAAAATAGAACTTTGCACAGAAGTACAGCAGTTCAAGTCGCCACACAAAAACCAAGAGAAGAAAGTAGGAGAAATGCAAAATAGAGACAGTAAACAGGGATATGAGACAAAAGGAATAGTAATAACGAAGAACAATATAGTTTCATTGGAAATTTTTAAGTCACAAGGAGTGGATGCATCTGCACCAGCCATTGAGAACAGGGATTTTGAGCCATATCACCTATTGTCTCCAACCTTCATTGGTTTTTACCATCCCGAGGACCCCAACTAGGAAGCCAGTCTACACCCTCCTACGTGGCTTAAACTAAATGTCGTGTATTTCATTGATTGATGAAGCCATGTTTTGGTTTGAAGGCCGCTAGCTCTTTTCCAACCTGATCCTATGTCAGCTAACATAGTCCGTCGGTCGAGGAAGGCAGACGATGGCTAGGCATACGTAACACACATCCTAAGCATCTCAAAAGGTGAAGCTTCACATCTTCGTCGATTGATTTCCCCTCCCACTTATCTAGCACTCTGTCAAATAAAACAAGCTCATATTATCCTGCTTAGAAATAATTTCCAGTCTTTCTTCACCTTATTTTCGATGAATACAAATTATAATTTTGAAGGGCAGGTATCTTATTAACTCTTAAATTGCTTTTTGATAACCTTTTTACTTGAATAATGTTCATTTTACAATTCACACATTTTATTGACTTGTTTATGTATCCATTTTCGTTTTCTGTATCATCTAAATCTGTCCGAAAAAGGGTAACTGAATTTTTTTTTGTGCACAAAACTGAATGAATCAATTTCTGTAGATAGTTAAATCATAGTAAAAAAAAACGAGACCATGGTAACGAAAGAGATGGTACAAATTGCTTTTGTATACAAAGTTCTGGCTTTATGTGTTGTGTATTGCTAACGCTTCTGCTGTACAAAGTAAATGCACTCGTACGCTCTCTTTTGGCAAACTTTGTCGGAATTTGTTGGACATTGTAGACTATATCAGACGATGTGTCAGATGCTGCTTAGTGGACAGTATCTACAATATGTTGCAATATCGATGAATTAATTCTCCTACCTCTACGCTGTCTTTTGCTAAGCCAAACTGGGAGATACTCTGGAATGTGGCGGTGAGATATATTTCCCGACGAACGTCATATGTATCTAGCTCCACTAGAGCAGGTGAGCATATAAACACACATGGAATTAGACAATCGAGGTAACATTTCCTTGACATCACTAAGGTGTTCACCAGTGGATGGTTAGAGTAGGTTATTCATTAAGTGTCAGCAAAGAATCTTTTCCTCAGTGATCTCGTCAGACGACTTTTAAGTATTTCACTCGCAGTGTCACCCGTAAATTTGATGAAGACCTGTCTTCCACTTCCGATTCTCGTTAGACAGCAGCATTATGTAATACAAAATCAACTGCCTGAGGAAATTCAAGATACTTATTAATCAGTTTCGTTTTTCCCCCTACACATGTACTGAAATGTACTGAAGCGCGGCAATTTTGATTTAAGACAGGTTATATCATTACCTGATTCATTTGAAATTTCTGAATGTCATCTAACTGAAAGTGATCCAAAACAAATTCAGCTGCTGGATTTCATCATGAGCTGATATTGGTTAGAGAACCCTTGGAAAACCACCTAGGAGTACTGCCAGACAGCTGTTTCGTCCTAGTTTGGGACTCTTCAGCAGTACGCACCCACCGGGGTTCGAACCTAGGACCTACTGGTTACAAGGCCCTATTCATGTAGGTAGTTACCTGGGGTTCTAGTGAAATGTCGTGACCAGTAGTGTGCAGCAGGTTGGGTGTGAGAACGAATACTCTCCGAAGACGTTGGCTAGTAGTCACGCTATTTCGTGAATTGGCAGAAGTTAGAATTCATGGGCCATTGGATCGGGTCCCAGTGGCTTGCCTTGTAACTGGAAGGTCCTGGGTTCGAACCCCTATGTTGGGTGCGTACTGCTGAAGAGTCCCAAACTAGGACGAAACAGCTGTCCAGTACTCCCAGGTTTTCCAACGGTTCTCTAAGCAATGTCGGCTCATGGTGAAATCCTGTAACCAGTCAAATCCCTACAAACCATCACTTGAAATTCAACTGCTATTGAAAGATAGAAAACTTTCACATATGACATCAGAGAATAAACCTTGCACAATATTCAAGCATCGAGTGAAATAAACTTATATCCATTTGTTAAAATTAGATTAAATTATACATTTCCTGTTGATTGCACTCCTAATAGGAAGTCTTTTGCGATATCTAAGGATTAGCAACGATGTTATTTAATGATTGCTAACTAGCACCGAAATGAAGGATGCTCACTTCATCCCATTTAGGACTCATCAGGTGGAAATCCTTGGAATAATATAGTATCTAAAGTCCTAGGCTCAATAATATTGCGTAGACTAAGTGGTAATCGAGAGGAACAAACACGAGAGAACCAGGCAGGCTTTAGACCAGGAAGGGGGGTGTACTGATCATATCTTCACCCTTCGACAGATTCTAGAACAAAGGGATTCTTACAGGCGTTCAACAAATATTATATTTCTTGACCTAAAGGCGGCATTCGATTCTATCGACCGAGAGGTACTCTGGCGATGCTTGGCTGTAAGGGGAATGACGAGAAAATACATTGTACTAATCAAATCACTCACTCTACTCGAACTCATGAAGCCAGCCAGGTGACAGCTTAAGGCGAGTTGTCATCTAAAGTGGTGACGACTAGTAGTGTCCATCAGGGATGCCCATTATCCCCATTCCTATTCAATTTCATCATAGATGTACTAATGGAATTAAACCTAACTAACTGACTTCAGAGACTCAGGGATTGACTTGATACCAGGGATTAATCTCGTTGACTTTGAATATGCATACGATATAGTCCTTCTAGGCGAGGACGCTGACAAAATCCAGCAGAGTCTTCTGAACACCTTGAGCTACAATCTACGAATGTTTGGCATGCGATTCGCTCCTGGTGTGAAATGTAAGATGATGCTACAGGATTGGACTGTATTGACTCCTAGATTAAAAATAGACAGGGAAGTGGTTGCTGCAGCGTGTTGACCACTTCACTTATTTGGGAAGTTGCACCAGCTAACCCTAACGGATTGATCGCTGACGAAATCTCAGCACGGATACAGAGGGCCAGTTTCGCATATGCCAGTTTACGCCGTCTCTGGCGTAGACGTGACATCCGGCTAACTGTCGACTAAAGGGAGTGTGTACTGCTCAGTAGTCTGCTCCGTCCTCCTTCATGGTTGGCTGTGAGACCTGGCCATTGAGAGTGAAAGACATGAAAAGATTAGCTGTCCTTGATCATAGCTGAGCAATATTGAGGTTAGGCATCGAGTTCTAGGTACGGAGGGGAAATCAATCGACGCGACTGTGAAGTTACAACGACTGAGATGGTTAGGACGTGTGTTACGTATGCCTAGTCATCACCTTTCTCGATCGATGGGCAATGTTAGCTGACATAGGGTCAGATTTTAAAAGAGCTAGTGGCAGTCGAACAAAAACATGGCACAAATCAATGAAATCCACAACAATTAGTTTAAGCTATTCACGTAGTAAAATGTAGACTTCCTGATTGGGGTCCTCAGAATGGTAAAAACCAATGGTTGGAAACAATTGGTTAAATGGCTTAAAATCGTTCTCAATGGCTGGCTGGCTGGCGCAGATGCATCCACTCCCTGTGACTAATGATTTCAAATGAAACTATATCGTTCTTCGTTATTACTATCCCTTTATCTCACACCTCTGGTCACTGTCCCTGTTATGCATTTGTTCTACTTTCTTCTCTTGCTTTGTGTGCTACATGTCAGGAGTGTGGCGACTTGAACTGGTGCGCATCGGTGCAAATTCTGTGTCGAAAACAGATAGATAGATATCCTTGGAATCTTCAATGTATGAAGATGCTTCCATTGGGAGTCAAGGCCCCAGCATTCATTGTTTCAAACGCCACTAGGCCGCCTGCGTATCCTGGATTCCAATGCTAATCACTATTCACCAAATAACATCATACTAGAATTAAACTATTTCTCCTTCAAGTGACTAATACCGAGTATTCACTCATCTTACTTTGTGAATTAAAATAAGCAAAATTATTATAAAATCCATCTAGTTATCAAAACTTCAAAGAAATATAACAAGTTTCACAAAATGAAAAGTACTCACGTCCACTTAAATATGCCGAATAGGCTTCCTCTGAATCTACTTCACATCTAGTCATTTTAAATAAATTACAACTACTCCAATACGTGTTTCTTTTATTTAAAAAGGTAAGTTATCTTATCGCTTAGCAACATGGTGACAATAATAACAGTGTTGACCAATCGTATTTTTGTTTGTAAGTGTACTCCAATCTTAAGTACAGAGAGAGAGGGAGAGAGAGAAAGCACATGACTGTTTAAAGTACACACACATAAATACAGCGGAGTAGTTACGTATTTTTCTTGTCTTCTGATTGCATAAGGAAAAAAGACTATTTTTAACTCATATTTGTATGCGGGAATGATACTAATTTCTAAATCTATCTCACTGAATATTCCTGATGAGTCCATATAGAGGACGAAATATCTGACTAGTTTACAATGACAAAAACCACATTGAAACTGATTAAAACTCTCAAATAAATCCCGATATATTGAAAGAAGTTCGGAATTTTCATAGAAATGCTAACCATCATCCTGTGTCAAATATCAGACATAGAGAATGACTACAATTTAGTTCTTAGTTTTGTTTCAGACGATAACAGTCAGAAAACATCCTCCTCAGTGTCCAGGATGCATTGCAACTCGTTCCTTTTACCACCAATATCAACGGGTGTATGACTGTTCACGAGCTTTAATTTCCTCTTCATACAATATTCCTTCTGCCTATTTGCTGATAGTGAAAGTTCCTAGTCGCCTATCCATTCCGGCGTGGGTTGGTGGTTCAGCGATAGTATTCCTGCCTGCAAAGCACTTTACCCAGGGTTCGGCTTCAAGCCTTCACACTCCTAAACCTCATCAAGCCGATAGTTACCCTGGTTTAGAGGGTAAGTTGGAAGTAGGAGTCACGCCGTTAAAAAACACCAGAGTTACTGAAGGTTCAAAGCTTAATACTTGAAGTCCTACATTCCACTTAGAACGCAAAGGAATGAATAATAATAATAGTAATATCTATTCTTGCCATCTGATTTCCAGAAAGAACAACAGTGGCGGTTTGTGCAAAATAACAAAATGGTACCATCATTGCTTATATCGTTGACATCTCATCAGCTCAGCTGCCTAAAGCCTAAATAAATTAATACTAACTTTATGTACAAAAAGTTTCAACATACTTGCAAATTTTACATGATGTCAATTAGCGAAAGGTTCCGGAATTAGTGAACAGTGCTCAGTGTTATGCAATAAGGACAAGAGGTGGGTAAAATGATGAGTGACTAATAAATTAGGTAACAATGTACTGAGTTCAACTCGAATCGTAGAAACAAGAGACAAGCAAAATTACACTGTATTAAAGGGTGGACGTGAGGTTAAAGCCAAAGATTGTGTAATCAAATGAAAGAGAGAGAGAGAGAGAAATGAAGACATCCAGTTACTAGGCGGGACAAGGAAGGACTAATAACTGCTTCCTTCTGAACACATAGATTCAGTTTCAAGCGTTTGATAGAAATTGCTTCGGCACAAAGCGAATGCAGGTTTGCTGAAAGTCTTCAGCAGCCTGTAGGGAGTGATCTCGGTGACAATCTGAGTCCCTAAACCATATATTAGCACTGCCTTAGACTTGGTGTTAAGAAATCGTTTGTTCTTCTCTGTGCTTTGATTTCGGAAGTGCTTTGCTTCCCGGATCTTGGCTGGTTTTAACATAGTCCATCTGTATTTGAAACTATGCCGACTAGATCACCAAGTAAGTGGAAGAGTCTACTTCCTTTAGATTTCTCCCACTGATGATGGTGGGTACTTGCTGTTGTTGTTGTTGATACTACTCGAGTATCTTTCTCACCTCTATCTTCTCTATGTTCATCTGAAATCCAGTCTTCACTGCTACTTCCATCATCTATCTGTCTTTCGCCTGCATGTTTTCAAGTTTATGAGACATGAAAGATGCATCATCCATGAGGTCCAGATATTCTAAAGTCTTTTTTGTCAATTGTGAAAGCCAACATTCACAGGGCAGTACACTAACTTCAACAGGTGGGTACCTTTAGGGAGAAAGAGAAATCTTATTCATTCCTTATGTGCTCCAGAATTCGTAAAATCTGCTCTGCAGAGACAATTGGTAGTGACCTAGATAACCTTCGATCAAATCTCCTTAACAGTGGATATCATACAAGATTTATTGAACGTAACATCAAGAAAGAATCCACCCTTAGACAAATCATAGTGGCATTCAAAGGTGACACCATTTCAGAATTGATTAAAAATCGTTTATCTAAATGTATTAAATGCACTTGTCCTGTATCTGACTGGCAACTAGTTTTTACCAATCGAAGCATGGTTAGATAATGCGTCGAGGATAGATTACCGCTTTCGTCCACATCTATGTGCATTTACTCTTTTACCTGCTCTTGTGGAGCTGATTATATTGGACGTTGTAAGCATAATCTCCGAAAACGTGTAGCTGAACTTTATCTGGTTTGGTTAATGAAAGGCGAACGTAGAACTGCAAGGTTGTCTATTTGTGACTACCTGTTAGAGTCTGGTCATTTAACCCCACGTGATTCATCCTTCAAGGTTATCTACACGACAAAATCGAATCTATCCAAAAGTTTACGTTTTCTTCACTTATGCATAGCTAGCCGAAGCTTTAGCTATACATGAACAGAAGCCTAAATTATGTGTTCAAAAACGTTTTGTCAAACCCCTTTCTTTACCTTGGTCATAGTAATGTTTTCTCTAGTTTTTATTTTATTTTACCGCTTGAATTCATTCCACTTCACTTCACTTCTTCATTCATTTCCTGATCGTACTCCTAATTTTTTTAAATTTTTAGACAACACTTGACATTTTTAAACCATTTTTGGTATCAATCCACTTATAAAACAATCTTTAATAATTCTGCAATTTATCCGCTTCAACTGTATGCCTTATAACATTTTAATTATCGTTATTCTTATCACTTATATATGTATATTGACTGAGCAATTATTTAGTGCCACTTAATAACCCTTTTCTGTGATATAAATACGACTGTACAGCTTGAAAATAAAGTCGCTGAAAAGAAATTTCTTCGCTGAACAAAAAAAACTGTGTTTTTACTTATGAATATATAGGTATTTTTCGTGAATTATGAGTATGTTCATCTTCTCAGAAGGCTTATCAAATATGGATATTGAAAAATACTCCATGAAGAGGTATAAGTTCATTCTGAAGATTTACTGTCTTGACAAACTCAAATATAAATCACTTCAGACAGAATCACTACTAATTCCGACTTTTATGCTTATATCACTGAGGTCGATAGGATATTCCAAACGCAATTAAAATCTTATGGAATTGAAATGATTCCGTTCTGATTGATCATTTGGACTAAACGAGGTGATTTATAATATAAAACATTGATTGGTCAGATTTGATCACTAGTTAATTGGTCTACAAGCTCATCTTGTAACCGGAAGGTTGAAGAGTCCCAAAACTGTGGCGAAATGTCTGTTCAGTAATTCTTGGTTTTCTAATGGTTCTCTAATTGATTTCAGTTAGTTAACAAACCTATAACCAATCAAATCCCTGTAAACCAACACTGATTGGTCAATTGAACAATTTAATTAACTTCATAAGTGAATTACACAATTGTAAGACCGAAGTATATGACAGAGGAATCATGTATAATAGGTTAAGTATGTGAATATATACACTTTTTTGACTGATCCGTATTATTTTATTGGATCATAAATGCTGATAGAATAATCTGTCAAGTGTTTAATTTCATAGCAATGCTATGAAACCTACTAACATAATACATATTTTGTTTGATATATTAATATTGTTTCCTTTAGTTGCTAGAGGAACATAGGGCTTCAGTCGCACGTCTCCATTGCACTCGGTTCTCTGCTAACCTTTTCACCTGGCTCCACGTCTGCCCACATGCTTTCATCTCCTCTTCCCATGACTTCCTCCATGTCACCCTCGGACTGACGACCAACTAGCCGCTTCCCATTGGGTCGGTTTCCACTCAAGCGATGGCCTGGCGTGTGATTTCATTCACTTGATGGTTCTTTTTCTCAGAGTATGACCAGCCGATCCACCTCCATTTCTTCATGCAGATTTGTTGCACATTTTATTTTTCATTCTGAGTGCTGTTGATCTCCACACAGACTTGAGAGTGATGAAAGCTTTCCTAGCTTCCCCTATGATCCTCACTTTGATGATCTCATCAGTTCCACCTGTGATTGAAACGATACTTCCCAGGTAGCTAGGTAAGTAGGTAGGTAGGTAGGTGAAGGGGGTTGCTTCTTTCGGATTCCTCCTATTTATGCTGGCTGATTGTTGTTTGTTGTTTCTGCTGTTGGCCTAGAATCTTCATCACCTCTATTTTCTCTATGTTCACCTGAAGGAAGTCCTATCTTCTCTGTATGCTTCTTCTTCCAACTTGTTGCATTTCATTTGCATATCTTCCAGTTTGTAGGAAATCAGACATATATCATCGTCGGTGAAGTTCAGATCCTCCAAGTGTGGGTACATTGTATGACTGTTTCCTCACTGCCCGCTTGCTGTCTGTCACATTATCCAATAGACCGCAATCAGGAAAATCATTGGCGAATTACTTAGTTTTAGTTTCATGCTTATAATCATCATTCAAAAAAAGCGGAATTTAATTAAATCTCTCGCCACTCGCACTCATCGTTTCTGTAGCCGCCATGTTCTAGAAATAGAATTCGATCCTCTGAAAGAAACCTTCATATAAAATGGATAACCACCAAGGTCCATTGATAAAAATATCAAACCAAGAATTTGAAGAAATGAAATTTCACTTGCGCCTAAAAAGAAACTCTACATGAACTTGGATTTAAAGAGAGATTTAACAAGCGATATTCTCAAGAGAAGGATCGTATAATTCCTGAGAAGAAAAATATTTGCAGCAACTCTAAGAATAGTGCTCTCCAGTTGCCCACTGGTCTGCAGAAGCCTTAAGGACAAGACTCCACATCTGACCGCTACAGTTTGCATATATCAATTTCCCTATTGTTGTGGAGCCATGTACATAGGTCGTTCAACGTGCCTCCTGTTCAAGAGGATTCAAGAACACTATCCAGGGTGTCTGCAGAAAGAACGTAGTGGCCATATAAGGAGTGCAATCATCGAACA